TGGTGGCACACCTGGGATCCAAAACACCCAGACTTCCTCGTGATTTGATGCCAGAATATTTCTCCTATCCCCTGAAGTATTCTGTCAGGTAGAATGCTTTAGTTTGTATATGAATATGCAATTTCATAATGATAAATGGAAATAGTATCCTACTATTATCGTACTTCAGGTCTGCCTAGCTATAGATGAAGGAAAAAACCCTAATATCTGTTACTGAAATTTTTCCTGCAAATAATTAACATAATGCCGACTACTCTTTTTTTTTTATTCTTATGTTAATCCCCATACATTACATCATTAGTTTTAGATGAAGTGTTCCATGATTCATTGTTTGTGCATAACACCCAGTGCTCCATGCAGAATGTGCCCTCCTCAATACCCACCACCAGGCTAATGCATCCTCCCACCCCCCTCCCCTCTAGAACCCTCAGTTCGTTTTTCAGAGTCCATCGTCTCTCATAGTTCGTCTACCCCTCCGATTTCCCCCGCTTCATTCTTCCCCTCCCGCTACCTTCTTCTTCTTCTTCTTTTTTTTTTTTCCTAACATATATTGCATTATTTGTTTCAGAGGTACAGATCTGAGATTCAACAGTCTTGCACAATTCACAGCGCTTACCAGAGCACATACCCTCCCCAGTGTCTATCACCCAGTCACCCCATCCCTCCCACCCCACCCCCCACTCCAGCAACCCTCAGTTTGTTTCCTGCAATTAAGAATTCCTCATATCAGTGAGATCATATGATACATGTCTTTCTTTGTTTGACTTATTTCACTCAACATAATACCCTCCAGTTCCATCCACGTCGTTGCAAATAATGCCGACTACTCTTGAAGTCAGCCATTTATTTGATCACTTCCTAAATGTAACATTGACCGTTTTGTATCTGACTTCCTTTTTTTAAGACCATAAAGACCATAAAGTTACTCTCTCTATAGGAGTATTGTATCCTAGAACTTTACTTACAGTTACGGTTCCCATATGATTCTATTAACTCAATCTTCCAAGATCATTTTTTTATTTCTAAAGTGGAAGTAACATCATTCCTGCCCTGAAATTTCTTGGCAGGACACCTGACTTGCATTAAGAACTTGACAAGGGCCAAGAGCATAATTTATTGTAATTTTTAAACCATGAAGTAATGTGTAAATGATTTTTTTCATAATAGAACTATTGGCAAAAGAATTTTTGCATTTAACAATTTCTGTCTCCAGAGTTTCTGTAATTGAATCTCTTTATCTAGAGCGTAAATGGAGTCAGAACTAATTTTTATTAAGTGTCCATTTTGATTATGAGGGAATGCATTATGGCATTTCCCACATCCTTTTATTTATTTATTTAAAGATTTTATTTATTTATTTGACAGAGAAAGACAGCGAGAGAGGGAACACAAGCGGGGAGAGTGGGAGAAGGAGAAGCAGGCTTCCCGCCGAGCAGGGAGCCCGATGCGGGGCTCGGTCCCAGAACCCTGGGATCATGACCCGAGCCGAAGGCAGACGCTTAACGACTGAACCACCCAGGGCCCCTCGCACATCCTTTTAAATGTCTCAAATTATACAGCAATAGTATATGTGTTTTTTTTTTAAGCAATCAACTTTAGAATCATGTTTCTTTTGAGTCCTAAAAGATTTTCGTTCAGTCTTTTGTTTTTGTTTTTCCTCTTCCCTATTAATGATCATGCTCTTGAAAGCTGACTCATGATGGCTGCTTTCTGAGCTGTCTAGGTTTACTAGCTTACAGTTTCTCAGGCTGCAGCACCAACAACCTTATCCTGCCACCCCTGAGTGGACCTGTGCTACGCCCCCCTGTCGCTTAGCCATCAAGAGTGCAGCCTTGTGCTCAGAGAGATCACAGTCCTTCATGTTGCAAATGATGCCTTTCAAATACACGGGAAGCATTGCCTCTGTGTTGGTCTCTAGATGCTCCCCACATGTTTCATTGGTTACTTTTGACCTTCCTGTAGGGGATAATGGTTCTCAACCTTGGCTGCAAATTGGATTCATTTGGAGAGCTGCATAAAACACTTATGCCTGGGTCCCACCCCACAGATTCTGATGTAATATGTCTTGGGTGTGGCCTGAACATTGGGATTTTTTAAAGCTTCTTAAGTGATTACAATGTGCAGTCAGGATTGAAAACCACCACATTAAGGGCTCTTCTGTATCCTAGAGCTTTTAAGGTCAAGTTTATTTGTTTACTTTGTGACATAGATCTTAGATCCTTGGGTAAAAGATTCATAAACATGCAAACAGACCTCTGGACGTATCATTGGTTGGTAGCCAATTTTATTAAAATCCATTCTTAACACCCCAACACATTTCCCCATGTCTTTAGTATTCACCTCTCTGCAGATAATATCAGTAACAGCTAACACTTATTCAAGGGCACCTCACAAAGCACCCTACTACACTAACTCATTTAATGCACAGGTGTGGCCCTCATCTCTCGCCGGAACTCCAGGACTGTGTGTTCTGGTGCTGATGGCGGATATCCACCTGAACAGCTCTTGTCTCCAGCACAATCTGCATAAAGCTTCACACGCTCCTGTCCACCAGCGTTTCCCACACTGCTTGTAGCATCAGATAGACCTGGCTCAAATCCCAAAGCTACCATTCACTGGCATCTGACTTCAGTTTCCTTAGTTAGGAAGTGGCGATGTTGCTGGTGATAATAATGCCTGCTTCGTGAACGTGTGAGGATTTCCCGAGATCCTCCCTGGAGAATGTGTGGTTCCGTATGCATAGCAGGCGCTTCACAGAGGACAGTTACGGTTACTGTCTAAAAGCTTGATGTTACAATTAGAGCTGCCTGTGTCTCTTCCTTACTTATTATCTGTAGGCAATTCTTATTTCACATTGTACATGTTAGGGCTGCAAGGACTCCTGCCCAGGTCCTGAATGGTTGTGGCACATGCTTCATTTAATGGATCAGCTGCCCCACTGTGGCCCCAAGGAAAATGCAAGCCAGTTGTTGTAAGAATTCTCAAGGAATTTTCAAAAGAAAATCTGTTTTGGTTGGAGTTTTTTTTTTGGATTTTTTTAAATTTTATTATATTATATTATGTTAATCACCATACATTACATCATTAGTTTTTGATGTAGTGTTCCATGATTCATTGTTTGTGCATAACACCCAGTGCTCCATGCAGTACGTGCCCTCTTTAATACCCATCACCAGGCTAACCCATCCCCCCTAGAACCCTCAGTTTGTTTCTCGGAGTCCATAGTCTCTCATGGTTCATCTCCCCCTCCGATTTCCCCCCCTTCATTTCTCCCTTCCTGCTATATTCTTCTTTTTTTTTTTTAACATATAATGTATTATTTGTTTCAGAGGTACAGGTCTGTGATTCAACAGTCTTACACAATTCACAGTGCTCACATAGCACATACCCTCCCCAATGTCTATCACCCAGCCACCCCATCCCTCCCACCCCCCACCACTCCAGCAACCCTCAGTTTGTTTCCTGAGATTAAGAATTCCTCATATCAGTGAGGTCATATGATACATGTCTTTCTTTGATTGACTTATTTCGCTAAGCATAATACCCTCCAGTTCCATCCAGGTCATTGCAAATGGCTGTTTATAGCAGCAATGTCCACAATAGCCAAACTATGGAAAGAGCCAAGATGTCCATCGACAGGGATGAATGGAGAAAGAAGATGTGGTATATATATACAATGGAATATTATGCAGCCATCAGAGGGAATGAAAATCTGTTTTGTTTTGTTTTTTACTTGAAATCTCCTAATTTTTAAATGTTGGAAGTTAATTTAAAATCTTTAAAAACAATTGTATGCCAAGCAAAATAGGTCATTAGGGCTGGGTACAGCCCCAAGGCTATATAGTTTTGTCCCCTATGCTTTATAGTTTGTTCACCACCTAGTTTAGGACTTAATTATTATCTAATTGTTTGATGTTTTATTTCTGTCTTCCTAACCAACATATCTACTTCAGCAGTCCCACCTTACTCATTTTGGGCATATTTGCTGAACCTAACAGTGTTAGCAATGAATAATAATCACTTAGTTGACTCACTAAAGAAATATTTAATGAGCTTATATGGTATGTAATGCACAAGACTTCACAGTTTTGCTTTGCTGGTTCCTTTCATTGTGTTGCGAAATAGTTCATGGAAAGGTCCAGTGTTTTTGTCGTCACTCTGCGTCTGATTCCCATATTTATCATCAATTTTTTTTTGTCCCAGTTTGTTGGTTAGTCACCTTGTGGTACAAAGCTAGACTTTTCTACAGAAAGAGGAACAAGCTGTGTTGCTTTTACATTTTATTAATGAAACCATTGGATGACATATGAAACATCTTTAGGTTATCTGTGGATGATCCTAGCACTTGGCACATATTAAGAGTGCAACAAATAGCAGTATTATTTATTCTTTGCGCAGCCAGGAAACATGTGACTCTACAGTTATGTCTGAATTCTGTGTTTATATCAAGATTGTCCTACCCTGCAATATAAAATGTATGTGATTGTAAGTCTAAAATAATTCTTATGGTGCATATCTAAAAGACATTTTGTACATTTTTCATAGGGCAAAGCCTGGAAACTGATTGTTACACCACTGTGCTTTATACACCACATACTTTCACATTGTAACTTCCTGTCTAATTGCCATGATACCATCTCAGCCTCAAGCAGAGATATTCCACCCTGAACAGTTACCATTAGACATGAGTAACTCTGTTTGACTCATATTAGTTAGGCCTGAAAAAGGAAACATATTTGACACACACAGGCACCATTGTAACTATGCAAAGAGGATTGTTATTCTCCACCAAAGTGCCACACAGAAATATCTTAAGACTTCGGTTCAGCTCTGTTAGAGCCTCCGACTCGGGGAGGTGAAAAGTGAAGGCCCTGAAATAATTACCTCCTTTCATTTGTTGACTGTGGTCTCAGCCCCCTGGCAGTATTTTGTCATGGTGATGGGATGAACTTCGGGACATTGCACAAACACGGACCCTTCTCTTTTTGTGGTTTGCATAGGTACTCAGCGTGCCAATGCCCGGGCTCCAGCCCCTTACAAGCGAGACTTTGAAGCCAAGCTAAGGAACTTTTACAGGAAGTTAGAGACTAAAGGATACGGACAAGGCCCAGGGAAATTGAAGTAAGTCAAAATGATACAGACCTCAGGATTGGGCGATGGTGAAAGGATGAGATGCAGTTGGGAATGTAGGAAATTGATTGTGATTTGGGATCACAGCCTTTGTTTTAGTCGGTGTAATTATTTTGGCATGTGTCAGCTACAGGGTCATCTAAGACAAGGTCCTGGAATTAAGTACCATTTAGCTTAAGGTTTTAAAACAAACACCACATTCCATGTAAAAATATAGGCAAAATAAAAGGCTAATTTGTTTCTCCTGAAAAGTGCCTCTTTGTTCACTTACAGTGTATTTATTAGATAAAAGGCTGGCACAGTGTCTTCTCCTGCACATCACTGTCTCCTGACCTGACCTGAGTGTAGGAACACTGCTCAGCTCTGTTTTGTTCTGTGAAATAAGCTTCACTTGTCCAATGAAATATATCATGACTGTTGTTTCTGCCTTTCTTTACCCACCTTTAAATTTAAACATCGTCATGTTGTTTGGCCTAGAATTATTTTCACTTCCTACTTACCTACCCTTCCTTCATCCCCGCCTCCACCCCTGCCCCATGTACCCACCAGAGATCACGGTGCCCCCTGAGAGAGGGCAGAGGAGGAAGGGTCTGCACTGACACACTGCCATGATGCTGGGTGTCTGAGAGGAGGTCCAGGAGCCGTCCCCCAGCTCCCCAGCTTACTGCCCCACAGAGAGGGCTGGCTCAAGTATATTCACAGGTCCCAGTTTCCTCACCCTTCAACACACATCAGCCTGACCAAATAACTTACCCCTCTGAGCTTTGCCTTTCCCGCACTTCACTTAAGAAGGTCTTGAGGGGCGCCTGGGTGGCTCAGTCGGTTAAGCGTCCAACTCTTGATTTCAGCTCAGGTCTTGATCTTAGGGTCATGAGTCCAAGCCCCACACTGAGCTCCACGCCTAGCATGGAGACTACTAAAAACAAACAAACAAAAAAGAAGGTCTTGAGCTCAGGGTCATGAGTCCAAGCCCCACACTGAGCTCCACGCCTAGCATGGAGACTACTAAAAACAAACAAACAAAAAAGAAGGTCTTGAGCTCAGGCTTCCCAGTGTCCAGACTCCCTATCATCTCCCTTCCGTGACTATTTGAACTAAAGGCAAATTTTATCTGCTTCAGGATGACTGTCATTATCATCATCACAAGTAGATTAATTGGCCACAAGTATCATTCATTTGTATCTGTCACTTGGGGAATCTGAGATTCACTTAATTTAAAAATTAAATTAAACACAGGCATAAATATGTCTGCTTTGGAGAACATGGAGAGTTTTTTTTCCTCTCCTGGTTCTCACAGTCATCCCTCTGCATACTTAGTAATTGAATTCCTTGTCTAGGTGCATTCATGCTTAAAACATTACCTCATAGGGTTGTCCTTCCTTTACTAAACAAAAGTTTTGTGTTTGTATTGTTTTATAATCATCTTCCTTCTGGGATGAATTGATTTGACCATCCAGAAAGAACTCAGGCGTTGTTTTTATATGTTGTGGGCGGAGTGCTCTGCTTACCAGCAATTCACTTGTGTAATTTTTACTTCTACTGTTAAGAGTTCAAGACAAATGTGCATTATTACAGCTAGCAATGTATTAAGTGACTCCCCCTTTCTGCTAGTTAACTATGGTAAATGAAAAGAGAATCAAAAGTGCCCAGTTCTAGAAAGATAAGGGTTAGGAAATAATCTGTTTTTCACATTGTCTTTTCATGGACAGGTTAATTATCAGAAGAGATCACTTACTAGAAGATGCTTTTAATCAGATCATGGGCTACTCCAGAAAAGACTTGCAGAGAAATAAGCTGTACGTCACATTTGTCGGGGAGGAAGGGTGAGTAGAACAGAGAAGTGATGTGTGGAACACGGCTGCAGCTGCGGAGGGGACATGTCACCACAGGGTCGCTGTGGCTGCCTGAGACAGGAAACCCTGCTGGCAGGAAATGCCATTCTCAGACACTTAAACCTCTCGGCTTTTTTTTTTTTTCTTTTTTTTCTTTTTTAAGGCTTTCTCTGGTTTTTTAATCATTTGACAGAGAAATTCTTCGGTAAATACTCGTAACTATAGATCATTTTTGAGAGCAGAAGGTTGGTTTGGTTTCTTCTCTCTGCATCTCTTTCTTAAAGGGAAAAAGTGGGGCCTTGAGGGAAAAAACAAGAATTGAATTCTAACGTCTGTGATCGCGTTGTCTGCACTGGGTGTAAGTAGATCGCGCTTCACCTGTTAAATAAATAAGTTCAGTTTCGGAATCACGAATTAGAATCCTGCTCTCCTACCAGGAAGCTTCTACAGCAGTAATTCCAGGACTCTTGGACCAGCACTGGATAGAGGCAAAACTGTTGAACTCTGGGTTCTTATTTCTCTGTTGCCAGTTTTTCTCTTTTTTGGGGGGGTGGGCGGGGGGAACAGCAACACACCTACCAAAATAATAACCTGCCATAAACAAGCATCTCTGGCCTTCTATGACTCTTCCATGAGTATGCTCATAGAGATAAGGGTTAAGAAATGAAGGAGTGAAGACTCCTACACACTGTTTACTGCATCCAAATAAACATAGCAGTTCTTATATAACACTTCAGAAGGTGACAGCTCTCATCTTGTCCAGACCCCTTTCTCCTTCCTCATTTCAGGTCTGAGTTTCAAGTCTCAGCACCCTCTTCGTAACCCAGCCATCACTAGAGTGAATTTAAAAGGTACCACATGATGGCCTGAACTGTGGTTGTCTTCTTGACTCTGTTAATTTGGATCATTTTAAAGCTACCCTTCTCAGTCCTGCCTAGGAATAAAGTATATTAGATTATAGATTCATAGGAGTAATATCCAACAAAGTCAGCCATTCAACATATGGTTACTTTGGAGGCTCCAAAGTATAAAGTAATTTGCAAGTGTGAATGGAACTAGATAACAGTAAAATCAGGATTCAAATCTAGGCCTTTCATCCAGGGCTCTTGGACCAGCACTGGATAGAGGCAAAACTGTTGAACTCTGGTCTATCAGAACTTTTTCCTGCCCAAGGATCTTTTCACTATTCCAGCTGACTGATAACCCCTGCTCTTGTCACATATTCTGTTTATAGTCTCCCAGCTGTGCCTAGCTTAAAGTAAAATATTATATGGGAAAACAATACTAGGTGACAAAATTTGGGCAGAAGCTTGCCTGAGACTTGTTTTCATTACTGAAGCGCACTAATGGACTTTTAGCTTATGCTAGATGACTTAAGATGCAGGTGCACAATTGAAAATGGAGGCAAATGTTTTAAGCCTAATCATAGGTGTGCATGGAATTCCAAATACTCCCTTACATAACCAGTCTCATTTGGATGAGAATACTTTTCCTCCCCCAGAACTCCAGCTGCCTTCCTTCTTTTTTGGACCACAGTTTGTTGAGATCTCAGAGATGTAAGCAAGAGTCTTTGGAAGCCCTGGTACTTAAGTTTGAATAGAGCAGATGCTTATCATGCTTGATCATCCTAAAGTAGTTGCCCTGTGATCTGGACTGATGGCATCTCTTCCTAGGCTGAGTGTGGCTTGATACCTCTATCTGATTGCCACCAATGTCCACGTGTTTCCTGTTTCCATCACCTGTCTCCTCGCCATAACCCCAGAGGGAAAACAAAAATTGTGACCTCAGCCATCAGGAACAACCATAATCAAGCCCCTCTGTGTAAGGCCCTTTGAAGCTGGAGTAGTAAGGCCAGGTAGTTTCTGGTCTTATGGCTTTATCATGTCAATATCATACATAGAGATTATTAGCTATAGACTTCATTTTGCTACTAAGGCATTGAGAATACATAATGTTGTTTTGAAAGAATACAGCACTCTTCCTGAAAAATAGAAACCTCAAAACAACATAAAATTAAGAAGTTATTTTAGACTTTGTCACTTTCTCAAAGACATTGATTCGATCACATTAAAATTAGATCCTGCCATTTCTTTCTGGATTGTAATAAATATCCAAAGTGAAAATCTACCTACATTTTTCTATGGAACTATAAATGTGGAGCTGGGAATTTTCTGTCACTTTCCCTTCATTAATTTTAATGCTCACAAAATGTATCCGTTTGTAAGTTCTTCATGTCTAGCCCTAGTAATGGGTATTTAAAAACATATACACCCAGTGGCTAGATCTTGGTTTCTAATATCATTCTTCAATAAAAGGAACTAGGACTCCTGGGGGAAATGGCTGATTCTAGGATGGTGCAGGAAATATACAAGATGGAGCTTGAAATATCTTGTAGTGTCAGAAAGTAGAGAAGTGCTCAAAATTTCCACAATGATGGGGCTATGTCAGAGGAATTCAAGAGCCAACTGAAAGATCTCCCAACTGGAATTATCTGAGCACCAAAATAATTGAAGTAGGATTAGATTATAATAACCCAAAGTATAAAATAAACATCTGTACTAATATAAATATGTGATTAAATAAATAAAGAGTTGACCAGTCTCTTGTACAGAAGATTTCCAAATAATTCAGCATAAATCCTCACTCCTTAACTGTGGATTGTACATAATGACTTTCTTCCAATAGCACAGTTTGGGAAGGGGAAAAAGAAGTAAGTCCAGAATGGAGATGCCTGACAAACACTCAGCCAGGTGATCAAGGTTAAAATCAACAGTGATATATCATGCTAATAGTATGGGACCTTCATATGATGTGACGAAACTGGCACTTGATCTCTACAGTTTTTGTCCCCAAAACCCATAATATCAGTCTATTCATGAGAAGACCATCAGGTAAATCCAAATGGAGGGACGTCCTATACGGGTACAACTTCAAACTGTCAGGGTCGTCAAAAACAAGGAAAGTCTGAGAAACTGGTACAGCCAGGAGAAGCCTAAGGAAACAGGACAATTAAATGTAAATATGGTATTTTGGATGAGATCCTGGTATAAAAAAGGGACATTAGGTAAAAACTAAGGAAATCTGAATAAAGTATGCATTTTAGTTAATAATAATACCTCAGTATCTGTTACTTAACTATAACTAATATACTATACTAATGTAAGATGTTAGTAAGTGGGAAACTGGGTATGAGGTATACAAGAATTCTCCAGATTATCTTTGCAACTTTTCTGTAAATAAAAAACTATTCTAAAATGAAACATTTACTAAAAGAAAGGATATAGTTAGGATTTGGGGAGATTTAGGAAATGTTTCCCCAAACTTTTCTTATTTCCTTATTGTCTGATGAGTGGGTGCCACCAGGGTAATTTTGGGTATGTGTATGCTTCCTTCTGCACTTGAGGTCAGTAGAGTTATATGTATAGAGAAACAGTTAATTTTGTGTGAAGTCCAAATTATTAGGGGTAGTGGTCTATCTGTAGAGTAGTATTTTGTGTTGCTAATGTCAAGTTTATTTTCTCTATGAGGGAATAGTACTTTGCAGTTCTTATTGATACTATCTCAATGATTATATTTCCTACCCGTCATAATCAGGGTCTTTATTTACAATAGAGAAGTTAGGGCATAAAGAGGAAGGGATTTATTTTTAAGAAAATTGCGTCTGCCTGCACTCCAAGAAAGTATGAATTAACAGATTCACAGAGAGACTTCAGCTCTGCTTTAGGTTGTCTTGTTGCATAGGTCTGAAACACACATATAGATTGTTCTGAAATGGAAGAGCAGAATCAAGAGAAATTATGGGAAAATTTATAGTCAGAATTTGCAGGATGACTACAAATTCCATGTGAGGTAAAATTAATCTCAGAATATCGGTGATATATTCACTTTTTAAAATATAGAGTTGTAGAGCCTGTTAGTGGAAGTGTATTAGTTGACAAGTAGTTATTATTTTTCAAGTAATTATTATTTTTCCAAGCTTCATGTTATGCTTTGACAGTTTCTAAGCAAACTACTGTGATTTAATTTGGTCAGAACTGGAGGTTTTGTTCTAGTCATTACGTTTTCCACCCAAGTTAATTTGGTTATCTGCCCTTGCAAAGTAGGGAGGGTGGCAGGTCAGCAGGGGCAGAATGGCTGGAAACTGAGTCATCTTGACAAAATGTGGTAGGAAATTGCATGCTGTGGTTGCCTCTCTCTGTTGGGCTTCTGTCTGCCTGGAAATTGCTTCTTTAGGAAGGAGGCCAGTAGAGCACTGCATATTCTCCGGCATATTACTTTCTTCTGAACTAAAAGCCCTAGCAACTAAGGCTTATGTGTTATCAAAAGTTAGGTAGGTAGACTATCGGGTTCCGATAAGGTGTCCTGGGCCATTAACTTCTCAGTACCCCAAACAGTAAGGAAATAATAGCCTGGTTAAAGAAAGGATGTTTACACTGTGATTGCCTTGCCTCTTTTTTCCCTCCCTGGCCAAATCTGTAAAAGGGACCTTTCTTCAAGAAAGAATGAGTTCATTATATGTAAGGTGCTATCTGTTGGCATCAATCATCTGTCTTGCAAAACCACACTTAGACTAGGGAGGGGATGTGTGCAAGCAGTTTTAGTTCAGGGGTTTAAGAACAGATGAGCTCCTTCTGTGATATTTCTCTGAGACAGGCAACTGAAAGTAACTAAGTGGATGAGATCTGAAACGGTTTGCCTCCATCTCTGCTTATAAAATAACCAGCATCTCTTACATATGACTGGTCTAATCCTTGCTAGAAGTTGTTTAGGGTCCTGAGCTTGACCATTCCTCAGAAGTCTATAAAGCTTCAAATGAAACTCTCTGGTGCTGCTTGTTTTCTTCCAAGAAGAGACATTTGCAGGATAACCTCAACAACCTAAACCTTGCTGAAGGGTGCTTCTGTATCTAGACTTGGGCTTGACATCACCAGGTAAAACTTTGTTTGTCATATTAATGGCTTGCAAAATTCCTTACTCACCCAGCAGGCCTT